CAGCCCCCCTGCACAGCCCCCCTGCACAGCCTTCCTGCCCCAGCCCCCCCCAAAGTCATCCCGCAGAGTAGGGCTGTGTCCAGAGTGCTCCTGGACATCTCCAGTGGGTGGGACTCCACACCCTCTCAGGGCAACCTGTTCCAGAGTGTGCACAGTAAAGAAGTTCTTCCCTATGTTCATGTGGAGCTCCTGTGCATCAGTTTCTGCCCGTGGCACCACCGAGAAGAACCTGGTTCCATCCTCTGACACCCCTCCTTTTTATACACATTGATGAGGTCCCCTCTCAGCTTTTCTCAACACGGGATAGGCCCAGCTCCGTCAGCCGTTCTTCCTAAAAGAGATGCTCCAGTCCTTTAATCATTTCTGTAGCTCTCCACTGGGCCCAGTCCAGAAGCAACAGGTCTCTCTTGTGCAGCAGAGCCCAAAAACCGGACACAGCACTGCAGATGTTGTCTCAGCAGCATTACCCAGCATGGTGGCTCCACAGGGCAGCTGCTCTGGGGGATGGGAGAGAGGGGGAGGAGGAGGTCACCTAAGGATGTGGGCATCTGTGCCAGCACAGCGTGGGGTGAGGTGATCCCCGCTGCTGGAAGTGCCAGATCAGAGCCAGGAGGTGTCCATGTGCAGCACTGGTTTTGGGGCAATGGCTCCCAGGTGAGAGCTCCCATTCACACACAGCTCTGGACATCTCTGTTGGCTCGTTTGGGCCAGCTTTGCCCACAGGGTACTTGGCAGTGCCTGGAAGCCTGGTGAGTCTTGCTGTGAGAGTCTGAGAGTTTAGGGACAGCAAATCCAGGTGTGCAGCTGTACTTTGGCACTTCATGCCAAGCTCGGGGTGCCCCTGATGGAGATGGCACCTCCATCCCTCCAGCTCTGCACCAGCCTCCAACCTGCTGCAGGCAGGGCCAGGCCTGGGAGTTGGCCTGAGGTGTGAACCTGAAAAACTGGTTATCAAATCTCTCACCTCATTGTTCTGATCATCCTGCAGCCATACTGCCAGCTGTGTTGCATGGTGAACCAGATCAATATCAGATGGAGGTGGCACAGGGTTGGTGGGAAGGATTGTATTCACTGGGCAAGGAGGTAGGACTGTTTCTTCTGACAGCAGTTTTGGCTTTAAGAGTTTGTCTGACAACAGCCTCATGACTGATTCAAACTGATCTAAGACTGATCTCCAGCTGGAAAAAAAGGTTTTGGCCCCTCCTCTACGGGTATTTCCATTACCTGCCTTGCATCAGTTCTAGTAATCATGCAACCAAAGGGTGAGTCAGATCCACCTGAAAGTTAACACACACACACAGAAATTATGAGTTCTCAGGTAAGCAAAGTGTTGACCAGCAACCAGTTTGATTCAACTCACCCAAAGAACTGCTGGAGCCAAAATAAGGAAGGAGTAGTGTGCAACCAGGGGAAAATAAGCAGCAAAGAACTAGAACATTTTATGTTAGCAATAAAAAAACACACTTTCAAGGTATAGTTTCCTGCTGTAGCTGTGTGGCTCTAATGTGACTGCCACCAAAGGCATTGTCCTGCTCTTTTCTTCCTGGACTACATCTATCTGCTGCTACTCCTTCCTGTACCAGCCACAGTGCCCTCCTGACCTTATGAGGAGCCATTTCTAAAAGGTAAATGGATAGACAACTAAACTCCTTGAAAATGTTAAAAACACTGTCTGCTTAAGGCAATTGACAGCAGGACCTTCCTTCTTTCCATTACATCAGCTCAGTTGAAGAGGTCCACTCAGTCTTCCAGACTGCAGGGGGTTAAAGGGATTTAGTTTCAAGTCAATTTAGTTCAAAGAGATTTTGTTTGTAGCTGAATACTGTCTTGCTGCTGACCATCAAAATATTAGTAAAAGTTAGCTGAGACCTGAAACAGCCAAGGATCTCCAGAACAGAGTATGTATCTGAGTGAATATCTGAACAAGTACAGATGATTAGACTTCTAAAAGGCTAGGTATTAAAGACTTGCTTGAAATTCTTAAGATAAAGCCAATCAATAATGACCAATAGATCTTGTCAGCTTATCAGCCAGTCCTGCCAGATGGTATTGATGACCTCCTAAAAGCACATAAAGTAGGTAAGCAGCCCTGCATGTTTTTAAAAATCATGTTAAAAGTGATTGTTTCATAAAGAAATTTCATTAATGGAGTTCCAGAGAGAAAGAATATTTTCTTTCCCCAAAGAATTGCCAAAGAAGAGCAGGAACAGCAAGGATCTCTAAGTAGTAATACTCAAAACAGATAAAGATGTAACAACAACAACAAAATTAAAAAAAAAAATGTTGCTCCAAGCAGGCATACTCAGTATGTCATCCATTACCCACTGACAACACAGGATAGATCACTCTGCAGAAGAAAGCAGGCAACTTTGGTAGAGGGACTGTGTGGAATGCAAATTGTACTGAAACCACAACAGGCCATCTGTCACTGATGGAATGAGTGTGATCCAAAGAATAAACAAAGTTAACAAGTACCTGGTTATCAGCAGTACATGATGGTGTAGAAAGTCAAAGAATTGATGTAGTGTTTTACATTTACAAGAAACATCAATAAAAGCTGCTGAGAGATTCCACGGAGAATCCAAGACAAATATTCATTCGAAAAACACAGCTGCAAGTCACAAGAACACTATTGTACAACCCATCAACAATGCTCATCAAATACTAGGAGAAAAAGAGATTACAGAGATAAGTCTTATGAAAAAAAAATTCCTGTATCACTTGAAAATTCTTCTGTTTCAAGCTAACCAAAGATGATAGTTCTGAAATGATCCCAGGAGGACACCCCAAATGAGGTGTTTTGTATGCACCACACAACCAATAAACTGAAGTCAGTCCCAATCACTGCTGTATTGTGCCTTTACCTTTGCAAATTGTTTTAGCAAATTGGAAAGCAGACATGAGCAAAATTCACTAACAGTAATAAAATAGTGTGGTCCTTTGAGATTGTTTTATGCAGGGCATAAATTGGTCCTCCAACTTTTCAGAATCTAATACTAATAGTACTTTTACTGGACATGAAGAACCTGCAATGCAAGTACAGTTATGAACAAAACATTCCTGTGCTTGAATTTGAATATCTGTTACTTCCCCAAAAGTGCAACAACAACTGGTATTAAGTTTTACCATTTTTCCTGAGACAAAAAAAAAGAGGAGGGTGATTACACCCATACTCTATCAGGCAAACTGTCTATTCTAGAATGCACTGCCTTCAATTTATGCTGCAGAAATCAGGAGACCATCTCTGCACTGTCTGTCATCTATAGCAGGTCTGTCAAGTCTTCCTGGGACTTCTGATGCCCAAAACAATTTAGGCATTTAGTGTGACTGGCTTAAGAGTCAAGAGAGTCAAAAGTTCTGCAATGCATCCAATTTTAACAACTTTTGAGTATGTGTGAGTTACTAACAGAGATACACAGACATGTAAGGGACACATCTGAACTAGGCAAAAGTTGGTGCTGATGAGAGGATGGCTTAAAAGTTACATTTAATATGGGGAGAAGAAAAAGGAAATATATTTCCAAGTACTTACATCGTCTTTAAGGTACATTTAACTTGCTTTCATCAGGAGAAATTATTGGTTTTGGCATAATTTCATTGCTGCTTATTTGCATTAGGAATCTCTTCTTAACCGCTGCATACATTTAACATTAAATATATGAGGTAATGCATTATGTATTATAAAGTGAGAGGGTGTTACCAAGG